ATGTATGAAAATCTACTGCACCGATTAACTTTTCCTCACGACCCCAATGAAGACAGAAAGAGAATAAAAATAGACAGGCATTTTTATGTGCCTGGCATTTCAGCAAATGTCTATTTTTAGAAGGCCTTGAATCACTCTTTCATTTCCTCTCCATGTTGGGGAAGAGGCTTTGCAAGCAGGGCTCGTTTTATGTCGTACCTCTGTGTCTCCGGGAGCGGTTGGCAGATGCGGGGCCCAGGCAGGACACAAAGTGATGCTTTGGCACACACAGACAGCCGCCCACCCTCAGTTCACTCTAGTGTTGCTGGTTTGGGGTTCTCTACTGACCAACACATCAAAGAGAACTGGAGAACGGAGAAGAAAGGGAGGGGGGAGGGGGTTACGTATGTGTCTTTGACCAATGCTCATTCTCCTTGCTTGATTATTGTTCACATTTGGGTCCTAGGTACCGGGATCGAGGCTTGGCTGCCCAGACATAGTAATGAGGGAGAAAGTTATGCCTAATAGTTAACTAAAGGCCTTTTAAATGATTTAAAGATCTATTTGTAGTTCAGTAACATTACACCTACAAAAGAGGAGTTTTCCAGAAAAAAAAAATCTTCACTTCGATTATGGTAAACAACTATATATCAGAGCCATCCATCTGAAATTAAAAAAAAATCCACCGCATTGTTTCTTCATGTTTAATGCATACCTTCTAAACCATCAGCATCAAAAACACCTCCCAGCAAGAAACACTCTCCCATGCTAATGAAGGACTGGGGCTCAGCCCTGTTCTCACAGACGCACAAAATACGCGTCTCATTCAACCAGCACATGCAAGTTTTGGATGGATTTCTCTCTGGATGGTCTTCATGTTGTCCTGTATTCCCAGGTTTTATTTCAGTCCTAAAGTGCTTGTGTGCCAGTTCATTTTTACATGAAGCCTATGTACCATTTCCCAGCAGTACAAATACTGGACAAGTAGAGGGAGAAGGCGGATTCACGGATCCTTTGAAATAAGCGGGCGGGGCGTCTTGCTCCTGCTGTGGACAGAACACGTCCAGGGCTGGGCACTGGGTTGAAATGTTTTGCAGCTTGTTTGGGGTGGCGGTGGCTGCAGCAGTGTTACTGCCATAGGAGCCCGATAGGTGAGTACCTTCTACTAGTGATACCTGTGTGTCCTTGTTTTAATTATTCTCATTGCAACACAGGTTACTGGTCGAATTCCCAGCCACAGGCGGTGTGATTCCATCCTGGCAATTCCAGCCTGTGAAGCTGATCCACTACATCACCACTCTGGATTACTTCCTGGCGGCCTGTGAGATTGTCTTCTGCTTCTTTACCCTTTACTACCTGGTGGAAGAGATTTTGGAAATTCGCATTCACAAACTGCAGTATTTCAGGAGTTTCTGGAATTGTCTGGATGTTGTGATCGTTGTGGTAGGTGGGAGCATAATCTCAAATCCCCGACCGAGTTCCAAAAAACCACGTTGTTTTCTGCAGTTTCGTAGATCTTGGTTCTCACAAAATAATTGAAAACGACACCCCTGAGCCCCCTTTGTATCGACTTCAGTCTTCGTCCTTATTTTCTTAGTTTGCATGAGTAACCTTTCTGAATCTGGAAGGAGAGAAGCCTTTGCAATCGGCTGTCAGCTGGCCACACGGATAACTCAGTCATTCATATTTAACTTTGGCATGCCACACGAGATGTGGGAGAAAAAATTGTTTTTTTATTTTTTATTGTTTCCTTAGGGGCTCATGCAACTCTTATCACAATCCATACGTACATCAATTGTGTAAAGCACATTTGTACATTCATTGCCCTCATTGTTCTCAAAACAATTTGCTCTCTACCTAAGCCTCTGGCATCAGGTCCTCATTTTTTCCCCTCCCTCACCACTCCCCCCACCCTCATGAACCCTTGATTTATAAACTATTGTTTTGTCATTTCTTGCCCTGTCTGATGTCTCCCTTCA